TGGCAAAGGGTTTTGTTACCTTTTCACCTAGCTTTTTTCATCAGCCTAGAAAATCTCAAGATTTTATCTCTTCACATAATACTTCTGCCTCATTCTGGCTTTCTTGTTCTTTGAGGATTCCAGTTAAACATTTGTTGGACCTTTTCAACATCATCTTCTAGGCCTCAAACTATGTCTCCAATATTTTCTTATGCATTTTTCCTTGTTTGGTTGGTTTTCTCTGTGTTTCATTCTACTTAGCCTTCTGGGGCGCCTGGGTGGCTCAGTCGGTTGAGTGTCTGACTCTTGGTTTTGTCTCGGGTTGTGATCTCATGGGTCATAGGATCAAGCCCCATGTTGGGCTCCACGCTCGGCGGAGGGGGGTCTGCTTGAGGATTCTCTCCCTCTGACCCTCCCCCAAGTCTCTCTCTCTCTTTCTTTTTTTTTTTTTAAAGATTTTTATTTATTTATTTGAGAGAGAGAGAGAACATGAGGAGGGGGTGGGCAGAGCGAGAGGGAGAAGCAGGCTCCCCACTGAGCAGGGAGCCTGATACGGGGCTCGATCCCAGGACCCTGGGATCATGACCTGAGCCGAAGGCAGACGCTTAACCGACTGAGCCACCCAGGCGCCCCCTTCTCCTATTTTCTTTCTTTCTTTTTTTTTTTTTAAGATTTTATTTATTTATTTGACAGAGAGAGACACAGCGAGAGAGGGAACAGAAGCAGGGGGAGTGGGAGAGGGAGAAGCAGGCTTCCCGCCGGGCAGGGAGCCAGATGCGGGGCTCGATCCCAAGACTCTGAGATCATGACCTGAGCCGACGGCAGACGCTTAACGACTGAGCCACCCAGGCGCCCCTCTCTCTCTTTCATATAAATAAATTTTTTTAAAAAATAGCCTCTGACATATGTTCTGGTTGTTTTCTTTTAAACTGTATGTAATATACTATTAAACCTATGCATTGAGTTCTTAAACCTCTCAATTCTGGAATAGAGTTTCTGCTAGATTATTTTTTTCAAACTTTATTTTTTACTGTAAGCATGCTTTGATTTCAGTCTTTTTCTGATTTTTGACTATGTGTTGGTCATTTTATTTGGAAAATTATCTGTGTAGGGTAATTTGAGGTTTGGGGTCATGATATCTTCATCTAGAGAGGACTTAACTGTTTCTGTCCAGTGCCTGTACTGTGCCTCTCTAGGACCTGTTTATTCAATATACAAAGCTTGAAATATTATGATTACTATTAAACCTGGTTGCAATCTGTGGAAGTGCTGATTTACTTCTGGTTTATCTTTACCCTATGGGGTCTCATATTAAATATAGGGGGTGTTTATTAGACTTTCCATCTTCTGTGATACTAGATTTAGATTTATTTCTCTCTTGCTCAGCAATCCTGCAAAATTCATAGCTCATTTTATAGATTTTACTTTTGTATTGTCAAATGCCTTCAGGACAAATGTTTGGTTTAACTGCCTGGAGTACTTCCGTCTAAGGTTTTGGCTGGATAATTCCTTATATTAGGCATTTGGTTCTGTTTTTCTAAACCCAAATTTTTTGGTTGTTTCAGGTGGTAGTTGGATCAAATTACCAAGCTGCTTAATATATATTCTGTGTGAAACCATCCTTGCATTACTAGGGTAAGAGGTATTTATAAGTTAGATGGGAAAAATAATTTTTGTCTAGTTTTGGCATCAAAGTTATTATAGCACTTAAAAATAAGTGGAGAATGTTCCTTCATTTTTTAGTTCTCTCTATAGTATTAGAAACCAGATCATTGGTTGCTTCTTGTGGGAGCCTTGACTGGGATGGGGCAAGAAGGAACTTGGAACTTTCTGGGGTAATGGCAGTGTTCTGTATCTTGATAAGCATTTTTCAAAACGAATTGAAGAGTTTACTTAAGATATGAGGATTTCATTGTATGTAAATTATACCTTAATAAAAATTATTGTTCAAATACCAATAATTGTTGAATCTAGTTGGAATATATACAGGTCTTCATCATATTATGCTTTCAACTTTTCTTGGTATTTAAAATTTTCAGAATAAAAAGTTGGGGATATAAAATTAAAAGATAAATTCATTGTTCAGTTTCCTTGATATTAGTTTCACTAAAGGTTAAGGCCAAACAGTATCAGAAAAGTATAAGGGAGTGAAGAAATGTGATTAAAATAAGATGTATGCTTGGCAAAGGAAGAAAGGTGGCTTGGAAGTATAGGAAGCTTGAAAATGATTATATGGAGAGAGGAAGAAATCAGTGGAAAAGAGAGAATTGTTGGGTTCAGAGATAGGAAGGAAAAGAATTAAGACAGGTGCTTGGAACTGAATTGAAAATTTCATGCACGGTCCAACTAGGTTGAGTCTTTTCTAAAGATACTAGGATATATCATATGGGTATATGAGTGCCTCTTAATACTTTTTTGATATGTTTATCAGCTGTTTAGATATAAAAGATTATCATCTATCATTTTAAAAGTTCATAAAGTTATATACTTTATCTCATTTAATTCTTCAACATTCTGAGTTCAGGAATAATCGTTCGTTTTATAGATTAGAAAATGAGGTTGCGACTTTGCTAAAGTTACAAAGCTAATAAGTGGAAAAGCCACTCCTGAGACTTTTGACTTCATGTAGTGTAATCTTAGGACACTTTAATTACAATACTGATGTTTTTTTAATTGGAGCTAGGTTAAAGGGGTGGACCAATCAGGTAATTGCTTAGAATCTCAATCCATAAAAAGTGTTAACACATTTTATCATAGAAAATGTCATGAGGAGGATGCCTGGTTGACTCAGTCTGTGGAGCGTGTGACTCTTGATCTTGGTGTTGTAAATTTGAACCCCACTTTGGGTATAGAGATTACTTAAAAATAAAATCTTTTTTAAAAAAGAAAATGTAATGAGGAGAAAATTGTATTTATTTATTATTTTTTATTTTTTCAGTGCAAAAAAAGGTAGTTTTATTAAGGCACAGACACAGGATCTGTGGGCAGAAAGAGCTCCTGAAAATTGTATTTAATGGAATTCCTCTGGGAGGATAGCTCTGTGTGTGGCTGGAAGTGGTACTTTGGTATGAGGCTTAAAGTGGTGGTGAGATGATCACACCTCCTTCCTCCCCAGCTCTGCTCCAAGGACATTTCATGCCACATTATAAGGAAGTTAGATTCAAGTAAGTGCAGAGATTTTTTTCTCATGAGTAGGATATACAAATTTAGACCAGAGCTGAACTGTTCGTGACAGTCAAAGAGACATCTCCTCCACTCTACCACTCAGGCTTTCCACTAAACAAATATTGAATGAGTATTAGAGAGTATAGTTTAGAAAAGATGCCAAATTAGTAATCTGGTGTAGGCAGACAAGGTAGCATTCTATTTCAGATGCTACTAATAGAAAACCTATCGAAAACGGTCTGAAACAGTGACAGAAAGTCATTGGCTTAAGAAAACTGACAAGTAAAAAGGTGGGGGAAGGGCTGTCAAAGTTAATTCTGGTATTTTTTTGGTGATTCTTACCCATGAGATGGGTTGGTCCTCAGGCTGGCCCCTCATTGTAGCAAAATGGTTATAGCACTCCACAAGCTAGAAAGTCTCCTCATCTCTAATCACTGAATAAATGCGCCCACACTTGATCTAATTGGCAAAGCCTGGAAATCCCCTTAGTAGTAGTTGGATTTACAGGTTCAGCTCTGATGTAATCACTGTGACAAGGAGGACATTGGTTATGATTGGGTTGTCTGAGGCAGCACTTAGAATTCTGCGGTCAAACCTACCCAACCCTAAAATGAATACTACAAACAAGTCTCAGGGAGGTTCATATTGGTCCCTCTTATGTGTTGTAAGCTTCTTGGCGGAAGGGTTGTATTATATTCCATTCATCTTTCTATTCCCTCAAAGCTCCTAGTTCACAGTGGCCTTCATTTAATGCCTGTTGAACAATGTTAAACTCCACTGAGGTGTAAACCAAGGCCAAAGGAAAATAAGCTAAGATCAAGAATAAGCCAAGCTAAGACCACAAAGTTAATGTTACCGAGCCAGCATTAGAAACCACTCTAGATACTGTTCATTCATTCTTTTATTCATTAAACAAATAGGGATGGGAAGAGGCAGTAGGTAGGAACCAAATTAAACAGGGCCTTGCAAATTGTATTGTTTTAAAGTTCTTTCGTGGGTGGGTTTCATCCATCTCTTCAAGGAAACCTCAACCCTGGACTTGGTCCAGTGAATTTTTGAGCAGCTTGACTCAGCATCTTCTCTCCTCCTTTATCAGCACGTCAGCGGTGCCATCAAGCTTCCTTCCATCTCTTCTGCCCTTGGCATTTCAACTTTCTTAGCGATCTGATTTCCCTGACCCCTCGACTTTTTAAAAACCAGGGTTCTCCTGAGCGCTCTGATTTCGCTCTTATTTCACGGCTCCATAGTCCCACCGCCCAACTCTCTCAACTCTGCAGTCCATGACATTCAGTCGCCCTTCAAAGTCAGAAGGAGTCAGCCAGGTTAGTACTTGGAGGATATTACCAATCCAAAGAGGTCTCACCAATCCTGCACCATTAGATCGGAACAACAGCTTACCCAACACCCACATTTAGATTGTTCCGCCACTACTCTGGGGGGTGGTTTTATTTGCGGCTGCTTTCCTCCAGCTACAGCCACCGTGTGGAAGAACACCGTTAGAATTTTCCCGAAATGTTGCTGTCAGCAGTCCCGGACACCTCTTCTTTCTCTCCGCCGCTCCCCCGGGCCAGGCCCTCCTCCAGGCCGCCCGGTAACGCTGCAGCCGCGCCAGCGCTTCCAGGGGAGGGAAGCGCCCCGCGGCGCGGAGGGCAAGGCCACAGGCTCGGCGCCTGAAGGCGTGCGGGAGGCCCGCAGGCCGCGGGAGAGGGCGGGAGCTGACGCGCGGCGAACGCAGCGCGCCGCGAGCCGGGGCGGAAGACGTGGGCGGAAGGTGGTGGGCCGGGTGGGCCGGGTGGGCGCCGGAGGGCGGAGCCCGCGCGCGCCGGGGGCGGGGCTTCCGCGCCGGTCACGTGACAGGTCCGGCGGCGGCGGCGGCGGCAGCGGCAGCGGCGGCGGCGGCCGCGGCGTCTTCAGAGGCGCCCAGTGCAGGATGGTGCTGGAGGCGGCGGCGGCGGCCGTGGTGGCGGCGGCGTCGTTGGCGGCAGCGGGAGGGGGTGCTGTGGCGGCATCGGCGGCGGCGCCCGCGGGTGGTGTAAAATGGCGGATTTCGAGGAGTTGAGGGTAAGCGGGGGCGCGGGAGTGGAGAGTGGAGGCCGCGGGGGAGGGGAGGGGAGGCGGGGAAGCCGCAGCGTCGCCGGCTGCCACCTTCTTGTTTCGCGGGGACCGGCTGGCGGAGCCGCGAGCCCCGGCCCGAGTGCTAGCGGGCGCCCGCCTGGGCGGGCGCGGGCGGGGGAGGGGAGCCAGGCGGCGGAGGACGCCTGGGCCGCGCGGGGGCGGCAGGCCCGGGGCGCGGGCGAGCTGCCGGTGGGTCCCGCCGGGGGGTCGCGCACCTGGCGTGGGGCGGGGGCCGCCGTCGGGAGGGGCTCATGGGGACCCGACTTTCTCGTGTAAGGGCTGAGGTGGGAAGCGGGATTTGCTTTTCCACCTTCATGGGATGTACGTGTGTGTGGCGATTCAGAAGTCTACACGTTACTCACTTGGTGGGAGACTATTTTGTGAAACGTGAAGTTGCATTTAGGAATCCTCTTCTTAGGGCTGATGCTACCGTTTAGTAAGATCTGTCACGAGAAAGGCCCCTTCCTCCCACCAGTGCTTCCTCTTGGAGAGAAGCGTGGTCTTTTGGGAGCACTGCCTTTAATAATCGACCTTAAACCTTGATATTTTCTTAGTGCCATGGTAAGACACTCGCAAAGGCCGTGTTGTCATGAGGTTTGTAAACTCGTTTTGCTCTTGAGGGAAAACATTTCTCTTTCTAGCCTTAGAACAAGGTCAAAACTTTATTGTTGATATCTTTGTACTGTAGAGGTTTGAAAATGGGTGTGCTGGGGGTGGAACGGAAAAGATACTTTTCCCTGGGCTGATAACCTTCAGAGTCCTCAACTGAAACTAACCTGTGGTAAACGAGCAGCCTTTATTTTTTATGGATCGCTGAATTACTGGCGACAGAAATGGAATACCTAGGGACGGAAACCCTGATTTAAAAAAAAAAAAAAAGTCAAAGTGTAGGTGAATGTGAACTTGAAATTAACGGCATTCCTTTTGCATAACAGAGGTATGATGTTAAGGTTACTTTTTGGAATGAGAACGAAGAGGAACCGGTAAAAGATTCAGTTTTGTGTGTTTATTGTTTTTTTCCGCGAGGGACGGAGTCGGGAAGGATGTTGGCTGCTCACCTGGCTGGTAAGGTGGACATAAGCAGAAGAACGTATTGGTGATTCCGATCTAAAGGGAGAGTGTGTTACAGTTTGCATAATACCTGCCATTTTCCCTTCTGTTGATTCAAAAACAATAGTACATTAGTGCATTTTACGCCTTATATTAGTTTATACAGAGAACCATGATAGTACGTAAAGGGTATTCATATTGGTAAGTGTAGGAGTTTTAATATCTCTGAGCGTAGAGTTTTTAACACCTGTGGAGCTTTGAAACAACCAGGCCTGAGCCTCAGCTGTAAAAATGAATGCATTAGGTTTAGGGATTGGTTGAGGAGACTGAAGGTTGAAGTTAAAAGTTTTTTTTACCTACAATATCCTCTTAATTTTTGCATAGTAACGTCTGTATACAATTTATCCTCTTTTAAGGTTTTTTGTTGATGGAAATTTTTCCAAGACTTGCATTAGACTTTTATAAACGTTGTTGGTCAAAGCTTAATAAAAAGGGAGGATTTATTTACCAATATAGGGCAGACAGGGCAGTCAGTGCTGAAGTTCCAGTGGAACTAGGAACTGCAAAGTGGTTGGAAACCAAAGATGCTTTTTTCTCTTTGGGTCTACCTGTCCCCAACCCCTTTTCCACTCCCCCCCTTTCTCTCTCCCCACCCCCTTTCCCCCTTTCCCTCTTCTTCCTCCTCTTTCACCTTGCCCTCTACAATTTGTTTTGTGGGTCAGCTTCATTATCTCTTTCTGTAAATCAGCTGTCTTTGCTTCTCCCTACACTTGATGGAAGATGGCCCCTCCTGCATAGTTCACATAAGGTGCCCAACAGAGAATGACTGGGAAGAGTTTTCAGAGGAGAGGAAGGGTGTGCAGGTAGATGCTGGAACAGTTATCCACCTCAGTCTTCACCTTAGTTGCTCAGCAGCATCTTCTACATTTAAAGATGAACAGTCTCCGTGCCCTGCCCCCATTTCAAACAGTGATGATGATGATGATAGATATCCATTATAATATAAGTGGTTATTACATACCTGGCTCTGGTCTAGGCACTTCACATACCTGTTTGATTCTCACAACAATTGTAATAGAATTGTTAGGAGAAATTGTCAGAAGAAATTGAGACAGCTTGAGTAACCGGACACAGTTTGAGCTGGAAGACCTGGGATTTTTAACCTCACATGTCCAGCTTTAGAGTCCATGCTTTTCAGAGTCTGAGCTATCCTGCTCTGTGTAGTTTCCTTCAGGTCCACGTGGTGCTGCTAGCCATCAGCCTGCAATCTGTGAACTAAACGATGATAAATAGCCCGTGCCCTTCTTATGTGACACATAATACTGGAGGGGAAACAGGACAGCTGACTGAAAATCTAATTAGAAAGGAGAAAAAGAGGAAGAAACATGTAGGGCATTCTAAATGGTCTCTGCTTCAGAATATATACTGTGAGGGTCAGAGAGATCATCAAGTAAATTAAAGGACCAGAAGAAATGGCCAGCATTAGTTTGTTGGCTAACTTGGCAGTAGAGGAAATAGCCGACCTGGATGTCACATATATGGCTGTCCATACTGCTGCTGAGAGGATTTCCATTATCTTTATCCATTATCATTCAGGGATACTCCCTAGGGGCATGTATAACCGGAGCAGGTCACTTCTGGCTGGTGATGCCATCTCCTGTACTGGAGGTCAGGAATTCTGGGAAAGGTCATCCTCACTGTGCTTTGGTGACTCCTGTGCCTTTGCTTTGTAAGCTTAGGGTGGGGGTGGGTGTTATTTGATGAGGCAACTTCCGTGGAACCTTAAGAGGCCGCCAGATGATTTTAGTTTTTGAGACTGCTGTGTAAGCCAATACCAGAGGTCTTGTCCAGTCATAGCAGAATATGGCAGCCCTACACTTTGCTGCTTTCATTTTAATAGAATACCAGCACACCTTTCTTCTAGTTCTTCTGAGAGAGAGGATCTGACTGGCTGAGCTTAGGTGAAGGTCCACTTCTTTTCTAATCATCTATGGCCAGTTTAGAGTCCTAGCACACAAACCTGACTCATGAGATTATCTTGATGGATTGGAGGAAAGGAAGGAGCAAGTTCTTTGTAAATGGAAATTGTGGGCTGAGTAGTCAAGGATGATTTTTTTTTTTAAGATTTTATTTATTTATTTGAGAGAGAGAGAGAGAAACCGCATGAGAGGGGTGAGGGTCAGGGGAGAAGCAGGCTCCCCGCTGAGCTGGGAGCCCAATGTGGGTCTCGATCCCAGGACTCTGGGATCATGACCTGAGCCGAAGGCAGTCGCTTAACCAAATGAGCCTCCCAGGTGCCCGTCAAGGATGATTATAACACATCACGTATTCGAAGCTTTCAAGGTGCTAGAGAAGAAATTATTCAATTCATTGGTTGCTTGTTTATAGCATTTATGTTGGTAGAAGTTTCTGAATTAACCTAGTTTGCAAATTAACTAGTTGTGAATTAACCTGGGACAAGCTCTTAAGATCTGATGGCTTCGACCTCTGTCACTGCCACCCTCCTTTCTCCTTATGAAAGTCTCTAGCAGAGCTAAGCGCAGGGATAGAGCAGAGGCAGAATAGTCTGGGTTCTGAAGTCCCTCATTTCTTCTTCAACCAGAGTGGCTTTTTTTTTTTTTTTTTTTTTTTTTTAAGATTATTTTAGAGAGTGAGCTTGCATTTGAGTGGGGGTGTGGGGGGGTGCAGGGGCGGGGAGGGGTGGAGGAGCAGAGGGAGAGAGAATCTCAAGCAGACTCCCTGATGAGTGCAGAGCTCAACATGGGGCTCAGTCTCACAACCCTGAGATCATGACCTGGGCCAAAATTAAGAGTGGTACGTTTAATCTACTGAGCTACCCAGGCACCCCCCAGAGTGGCTTTTTTGCCCTTGTCTTTCTCCTCCAGTTGCATAATTGTATACTGTGGGCTACTGGTGCAGTCTTTTGGCAGTTCTTAAAAAGGTTCCTGCTATTATTTAACCTGGTTAATCCACTCTCCTTACTTCTCACCACTCAAGTGTGGAGATGGAGGGGGATCTATTGCAGTAACATTCTTTTTTTTTCCTTTAAAGGTTCTCTCTCCCTCTCTCCTCTATTCCTTATCCTCTTCCTTTTGTGCATTGAGTTTATTATCTCCATGTGCGTCAGAGAACGGGAGTGTGTGTGCAGTCTTAGTGCATATTTGGGCTAGTGAAAGAGTGAGTGATCATAACTTTCTTAATAGATACTGGCAAACCAAATGCAGAAGATCTTTTATGCTGAGTCTTAAGTAATTCTGTAACAGAAGATTTTCTGCCTAGAAGGCTTGAGTGTTTGGTTCTTTACACCTAGCAGAACTTGCCATTCTGGTAGCTTCAGGTGCTGTTAGGCTATAGAGGGAGAATAGAAAGTTAATGGCATATTTGAGGTTAGAGTTCCTCATCCTTTATACTCCCCAACTATTGGGCAAGGAAATAGATTAATAGATATGATAGATGCAACTGAATCTACCATGTGATTCAAAGTCATGAGTTGGACACAACTAAAATTTCAGGACACAACTTCACTTGAGATCATGTCTATGAAAGCACATTCAAAACTCAATATTTAACTTAAATAGATAATTTTTTATAGTAAACCAATGTATTCTTAGCTATAGTAGATACTTTTGCATTTGTTTGCTCCTTAGGTCTGTGGCCTCCCTCCATGAATATCTTTTCTGATAAAGCTGACACTTTTCTAAATACACCATTATACAGATGTTTCTCTTTTTCTCAGCATTTTGCCTTTTTTTTTTTTTTTTAAAGATATTTATTTGACAGAGAGACAGCGAGAGAGGGAACACAAGCAGGGGGAGTGGGAGAAGGATAAGCAGGCTTCCTGCTGAGCAAGGAGCCCGATGCAGGGCTCGATCCCAGGACTCTGGGATCACAACCTG